CCTGGTCTGCTGCCCCGGCGGCCCTTCCCCTCAAGCTTTGCCTACTGCTTAATAAAGTCGTGCTGTCTCCTCCTCTCTGTCGCTTGCGGGGAGGCGGGGCGGGACTTGGAGGACTGGGGTGGAGCTGTGAGCCTGCCAGAGACTGCAGAGGCGGCTTTGGAGGTGCTCGCGTTGGTCTCGCCCCCGAGAGCCGATTGGCTGACCCGCTGGGCCCAGGATGGGCCGGGGGCGGGTCCATTTAAAGACCTCGGGACAAAAGCGGTCTCTGTCTGCTGCCCAGACAGGTGCAAGCCCAGCTGGGCTCGGTCCTCCTCGGCAGCTAGCCGGTCTCCTGGGGGATGGGGTGGGCTGTTTCCTTGACAGACGTTTGAGAGGTTCCAACCCCCAGCGCAGCGGAGACCATGGCCTCTCCTCAGGGTTCTCGGGCCCCGCTGGAATTCGGAGGACCCTTGGGTAATGGGGCACAAAGAGGGGGTACTTAGAGCCTGAGACTTAGAGGGTTGAGCTGTGAACAGGGATCTGAGGGTGAAAGACTTTGAGGGGTATCGGGAGGCAGTGGGATATAGGGGTTTGCAGGGGAGTGTCTGGAGAAGGGGTTGCAGAGCTGGGGATTTGTGCAGTGGACTGGGCCGACTGGGGGAAACATGAGCGGAGTCCTCGAGGGGAGCAGGATAGAAGTCAGAGAACGGGGACCAAGGCCTGAGAACTGGATATGGAAGATGGCAGTGGGAATGCCGAGGGGGCCCTGGATACGACAGGGTGCCTGTGGGGGTCAGGGAGAGCGGACCCCCGGACGCGATCGCCCCCTTCCCCAGGCGCCGCGGCGCTGATGCTGCTGCTCCCGGTCACTATGTTCCACCTGCTACTGGTGGCCCGCTCGGGCCCGGCGCGCCTCCTGGGCCCACCCCCCTACCTGCCGGGACTGGAGGAGCTGTGGAGCCCGTGGGCGCTGCTGCTCTGTCTCACCTGGCTAGGCCTGCAGGCGGCGCTCTACCTCTTGCCGGCACGCAAGGTGTGGCCTCTGCTCGCGAACGCGTGGGGGAGGCGGCGGAGGGTGGGGGCTCCGCCAGAAAGAGGGCCCCCCCTCAACCCTTATCAGAACCGCTTTGTGCCCGCAGGTGACTGAAGGGCAGGAACTGAAGGACAAGAGTCGACTGCGCTACCCCATTAACGGTGCCTGGGGGCTGGGTCCTTGCGTGGAGCTGCGGGTTGGGGGAGGAGCCCCAGGCCCAATGGGAAGGTCATGGAGATGCGCCCACGACCCCAAACTCTGATTTTACGCCTCTTTTACGCCCAGGACAGATACAGGGGGTTTCACTGGTCCTCTTCACACCCCTCCTTCCTCCATTCCTAGCACTTGCTGCTACTCAGAGAAGTGGCTGGGGTGACCCTTCCAAGAGCCAAAGTGTCAGATTACTGGCTAGGTCTGCGACCTCCCTTTAGGGTGTGTGTGGGGGTGGGGGGCGTGGGGGAGGTGGAGGATCTCAATCCCGGGACTCACCTTGTGCTGCTGTTCAGGCTTCCAGACCCTGATTGTGTGTGTTTAGGGGTGTGTGTGTGTGTGTGTGTGTGTGTGTTTAGGGGTGGGGCGTGGGGGAGGTGGAGGGTCTCAATCCCAGGACACTTAGGGGAGGGTCTTAATCCCAGGACACTTAGGGGTGTGTGTGTGTGTGTTTAGGGGTTGGGCTTGGGGGAGGTGGAGGGTCTCAATCCCAAGACTCACCATGTGCTGTTGTTCAGGCTTCCAGGCCCTGATGCTGACAGCCCTCTTGGTGGGCCTGGGGGTGTCAGCCGGGCTGCCCCTGAGCGCACTCCCGGAAATGCTCTTGCCCTTGGCATTTGCAGCCACCCTCACCGCCTTCATCTTCAGCCTCCTTTTGTATCTGAAGGCTCTGGTAGCCCCTGCCTCGGCCCTGGCACCTGGGGGGAACTCAGGTGAGAGGAGTCCCAGTTGGGTAAGGATAGAGGCAGATGGGGGTACTGGCTTGCACCTTCACCCTCCATTATTCTCCAGGCAATCTCATTTACGACTTTTTCCTGGGACGGGAGCTCAACCCACGCATCTGTTCCTTTGACTTCAAATATTTCTGCGAACTGCGACCTGGCCTCATCGGCTGGGTATGCTGGGCATGGCTAAGTGGGCCTCCAACCAGGGGGAGGGGTGGGATGGGTGAGCAGGGCAGGGCTGGGCCAGAATTGTGCTGACATGTCATTAATCATTCCACAAATATTTGTTGAGTCCATCATGTGCTCTAAGCACTGCTCCAGGTACTGGGAGACAAAAGAAAAACATAGTTACAGGGAAGAAAAAAAAAAATGTCTGTCTTCATGAAGCCTACATTCTAATAGGAATAAAATATGTCACATGTGAGGGGATGCTATGAGGAAAAGACATGGAGGGAATTAGGAGAAACAATTTTAAATAAAGCTGTCAAGTGCAAAATCTATTTCAAAGAGATGATTCTGTGCTGCTAGAGGTCAGAACGGTGCAGAACTTCAAACTCATCAATGGACTTAGCAACCTATCCATTGTTGGTGGCCTCGACAACAGGCCAACTGTGTTTTTGTTTATAAATACCCATACTGGTCTGTGGTCACGATTTCCTGAAGGGTCTCTTGGGCAAGGTCCCTGTCACCCTGGAAACTGCTTCATCCAGAGGCAGGAGGAATGCTAAGTGCCCATCCGCGGCCTGGATCGTGGCCTTCGAGGCTATTTCCTCATGTGTGAAATGGAGTAAAGTGGGAGCTTCCTCCCAAGATGATGGTGAGGATTAGAACTGGTAGCCTGACTGACCACACCAAGCCCAGTGCTACAGAATGGGGTGCTCAGTCCAGACTCAATGCCAGCTAGTCGTTATCGAGCACTTACTATGGCCAAACACACTGTGCTGAGCCCTGTACACATTACGTGCATGATTATCTCCATTTTCTACATGGAGATAGGAAAGGAGGCTTTAGAGAGGGTGAGCAGCTTGCCCAGGTGGCAAAGCTGAGATTCAAAACCAGGTCTGATCTAACTCTCAAGCCTGAAGTGTCCAGTTGCTCCCTATGCTACTCTCCCAAAGGGAACACTGCAGGACAAAGCAAGAAAAAACAGGTCAGGAGGTGGACAGATGCAGTCTCTCTGCCCCTGGGGACACGGCTGGAGCCACTCAACACAGGCCTGGAGAGTTAGTGAAGGAGAGCTGAGACAAGGGGACAGGCTGGTTGCTGCCTTTCCAGGCGCTGTCACCTTTGTAGAAATGAACTGGGGATGGACTACCCTGTCTCACCCTCCGCCTAACCCCCAGGTCCTCATCAACCTGGCCTTGCTGATGCAGGAAGCAGAACTTCGGGGGAGTCCCTCACTGGCCATGTGGCTGGTCAATGGCTTCCAGCTCCTGTATGTGGGTGATGCCCTTTGGTACGAGGTGAGGCAGGACGGGGCTGGGGAGGCAGGGGAGAGTGCCTGAGGACTTTTCGGGGACTGAGCCAGTGTGTCTGGGTCCTGTCCCTGCAGGAGGCAGTCCTGACCACCATGGACATCATCCATGATGGGTTTGGCTTCATGCTGGCCTTTGGGGACCTTGCCTGGGTACCTTTCACCTACAGCCTGCAGGCCCAGTTCCTGCTGTATCACCCACAGCCTCTGGGGTGGCCCATGGCCTCATTCATCTGCCTCATCAATGGTCAGTTGGGAAGGAGCAGCATTCCCCTTCCCCTCGTCATTTATTGAGCACCCCTGAGTAGGTGCTAAGCCTCACATGCTTCTTTAAAGCTAAGGGCTGGGTCCTCGGTCTCCTGGGAGACAGAGTCTAGGCTGTCGGTAGTTGGTCAGGGTCAGATGGAAGGCCCCTAACTGCCGGCTCATGCTTTCCCTCCAGCTGTTGGTTACTACATCTTCCGTGGAGCCAATTCTCAGAAAAACACCTTCCGAAAGAATCCTTCTGATCCCAGAGTGGCTGGTGAGCTGGGTTTCTGGGGTGCTATGAGTGAGATGGGGCGGCTGGACTTCCAAGGCTTCCCCCATCCCACCATGTGTCTTTCTCCAGACCTTGAGACCATCTCTACAGCCACAGGGCGACGGCTGCTGGTGTCCGGGTGGTGGGGTATGGTCCGCCATCCCAACTACCTTGGAGACCTCATTATGGCTCTGGCCTGGTCCTTGCCGTGCGGTGAGTGATTTGAGAGGAGCCGCAAGTGTGTGTGTGTGTCGGGCCAAGATAGAGGATGCCCAGTCTGGGTGCAGAATGAAGAACAGGGCTGCACCCCAGGGGAGGGAGTAATCAGGGAGCTGGGGATGCATTCAGGCTGTGGCTAGGGCAGACCTCTGGGACAGCCTAGCATGCCAGCTCTCCCTGCAGACTTTGGCCCTTTCAGTATTGAGCCAATGCCCCGCCGTGAGCCACTAGCGGCGGAAACGTTTGTGAACTGGTGGGCTGGTTGAGCGGTCAGAAAAACCCCTTTCCCCACAGGGGTGTTCCACCTGTTGCCCTACTTCTATCTCCTCTACTTCACTGCGCTGCTGGTGCACCGTGAGGACCGGGATGAGCGGCAGTGTCTGCAGAAGTACGGCCTGGCCTGGCAAGAATACTGCCGGCGTGTGCCCTACCGAATCGTGCCCTACATCTACTGAAGCAGCTCCAGACACCCCAGGTGGGGGCACGTGCCCGCCCAGCTGCCAGCACACTCGGCACCAGGAGCCTGCATGCACCCGGGACACAAGGGCCTGTACCGTAGCCTGCCCTGAGCTCCAAAACACTGGGATGAACAGCCGGATAGGTGGCTGGAGCAAGGGGGAAATGAAGCCAGTGCTCCAAAATGGGGTGGGGGGAAGGGGCTGCTCTTCCTCCTTAGATAAACAGCTGGAATCCTTGGTGCTGCTTCTGTTCCTTTCTGGGGCCAGGCAGTTTAAAGACTGGCTGGGTCAGCCCCAATCAAGGAGAAGCTGACAGGTTGTTTGTGGGCCCAAGAGTCTGGGGGACGGGGCACAAGAGCCACCACTCAGAAATGGGCACTGGTGACAGGGCAGAGCAGTCACAGCTTTATTAACGACAAAGGGTTCAGCCAGGGAGCTCCTCAATGAGAGTCCTCCGGGCAGGTGGCAGGGGGCCTCCCCAAAGCTGCTCCAGCTCCCCCGTGAGGGCTGCCACCTCCTCGGCCGCCACAGTGTGGGCTCGGTAGGCCGTGGCACATTCTAGAGCCAGGGATGTGAGGGCGTCCTCATTTTCGTTGGTCCAAGACAGAAGGAACTGGCATTTCTTTCGGGCTCGGTAGAGGCGATCTCGTTCTTCGGGGGCCACAGCTTGTTTTCGGGCTCGGCCCAGGGTCTGCGCCAGGTCCCCCAGTGCTGCCAGCGTGTAGCTTTTCGGGCTGGCCGGGCCCTCACCCAGCAGGATGCGGGCGGCTTCGCGCATGGCACCCCGTGTGCCCAGAGGTCCGGGGGGATGCTCGCCTGCTTCCAGCACATGGGCTGCGGCCTGCAGGGCTTCCTCGGCAGAGGCGAAGACCTGCTGGGCGCCCAGGGCTCCGGAAACGCCGAGCAGTGTGGCACAGAAGTCCGAGAGCAGCGCCTCGTCGCCGCCGTGATACAAGGCCAGAGTGTGTGCGTAGGCAAACAGCACGTTGGGCAGCTGGAAGCGCACGAGCGGCGACGTCCGGTCCCTGCTCAGGCTGGCCAGCGCGGGGATCCGGGTGGGCACAGCGGGAGGGCAAGCCCCGGGGAGGTCTCCAAGAACCGGCTCGACAGCCGCGGGCTCATTCCTCACGGGCTCCGGCGGCATCCTCGCGGGGGAGAGCTCCAGTTCCTCGGCATCACCGCTTGGGGCATCACCCAGCTCCTCCAGAAGCCGCGGTGCGGCACCGCGACCCCACCACCATGGCCGCCAGGGGGGCAGCAGCCGCCCGGCCTCACCTCGGCTCAGGAGCCGCTCGAAGGCCACCTTCTCGGCCGGGGACAGCCGCTCCCAGAGTCCTGAGAGGCCGCCGGGCGCCGGGCCAGGCCTGAGGCCTGCGTCCCCGGGCTCATCCTCGGTCTCACGTTGCTGACGCAGCCGGCGCAGGGCGGTGGCCAGGCGGCTGGGCGAGGCGCTGCGGCCGCGCAGTTCTCCCAGTACCTGGTCACGGTAGAACTCTTCAGCGCAGGTGCCATGCGCCCGGTAGCAGCGCAGCGAGCAGTAGGGCACGTTACAGCGAGGGCAGGTGTAGCGAGCCGGCTGGGCCTCCCCAGTGGGGCAGAAACCACAAGGCCCTGCCGGCTCCATGGTAACTGGCGCAGCACACCGCCAACTAACGCACACTCGCCGCAAATCGGAAGTTTCCGGCGCTTCTCGGTTACTTCCGCCTTTTTCGGACGGAGCGCTACGTCAAAGCTCTTCCCGGCAGTTTCCGGCCTCATTCGGAGGTCAAGCCACGCCCCTCACTTGACTCGACAAACAGCCTAGGAGCCGTGGGTGAGGTAGCCCCGCCCTGCGCGGTGGGAGCGTAGGAAAAGTGCGTCTGCCAGGAGCTCGGTCGGTACCAGCCCGCCCCCTAGTGGTTGCTTTTATCATCATAAAGCGTTTTGGCAAAACCCAATCTGGACTAAAGTTGGTAAGGACAGGGAAGCCTGGCGTGCTGCTGTCTATGCGGTCGCAGAGTCGGACACGACTGAGCGACTGAACTGAACTGAACTGACCTACTCTGGGCCACTAACTGTGCCAAGTCGATGTGAGATGAGGCGTCCCTGCGTTGGAGGGGCAGCCATTCTACTAGGGAAGAATGGAAGGAGAGTAAAAGGAAGACCAAGGAGGGGTACTTAGCCTAGACAGGGTGTGTTGGGGGCAGTTCCCCTCTGGAGGAAGCAACATTAACAAATATTTGAGCTCCTCCCTGACTTCCAAAGAAAATACACCGAAGAGTAAAATGAGATTGGGTACCCGTCCTAATGGAGCTGAGTTTGTGGTAGACTGGGGGTGACTCATCAACTGTGCCAAAAGCTGTGACGCCTCGATTTATGGCATCCCTGAAAGCTCTGGTTCTTTGGTGCCTCACCTTACTCATATCCAGTCCCACAACTAGTTAGTTCTACCTTTAAAACACCTTGTCTTTATTTCAATATGGATCATCTATTTCCCTACCAAGATCTGGATGAATTTGAAGAGTCTGCTCATTTTTGCATCCTCCCTTCCCAGGTGTCGCTAGTGGTAAAGAATCCGCCTGCCAATGCAGGAGACGCAAGAGACAGGGGTCTTCAACCCCTGGGTCAGGAAGATCCCCTGAAGGAGGAAATGGCAACCCACTCCAGTATTCTTGCCTGGAAAACTCTTATGGACAGAAGAGTCTGGCAGGCTACAGTCCATGGGGTCGCAAACAGCCGGACATGACTGACAACAGTGCACACACCCCCCACAGTGTCCCTGGCTGTCATGTTCTTCAGTTAGATAACACCAGCCTAACTGGTTTCCTTTTGCCAGCCCTCCAGAAAAGTCGGCCAGAGAAAGTAGATCACAAGTCATATCCCAGCAGGCCCTTACTTAAAAACCCTGACCTGCACTTGGACTGACACCAAACTTCTCTCCGCATCTGATAAGACCCTGCAGGATCTGCTACACACCGCTGCAGAGTTCTTCTGGCTGAGATTCACCATCTCACCACTTAATCATTTCTTGTTTAAGGTCTCACATATCCCATCCTCCGAGACCTTCCTAGGGTAGTTATCTGTCCACCACTCACTCCCTCTTTCATTACAGCACCCTGCTTACTTTCTAAGGCAACAACACTTGTAACTATGCTTTCCTCATAAGAAACTAAACTCCTAAAAGAGATGGGGCCAGTGTCTTTCTAGAAAGTTCACTATAAAAGACAAAAATAGCCAATACATTTGTGCACTTTTCTAGATGGCAGGAGCTGATCTAAATACTTTATATCCTTTAATCCTCAAAAACAACTTTCAAGAGAAGATAGCAAGGACTTCCCTAGTGGACCAGTGGTTAAGACAACACTCCCAGTGCAGGGGGCTCAGGTTCAATCCCTTGGTCAGGGAACTAGATCCCTGATGGTGCAACCAAAGTTCCCCATGCAGCTATGAAGATCTGGGAGATGGCGGCAGTGGACTTCTCTGGCTGTCCAGTGGTTAGGACTCAGTGCTTTCACTGCCAGGCCTGGATTCGAGCCCTGGTTGCCTGGTTGGGAAACCAGAATCCCTTAAGCTCAACACAGTAAAATAAAAAAAAGAAAAGAAAGAAAAAAAGCCAGCCAGCCAGTGAATAAATGGAACAATGATCCAGACTCAAGACAGTCGAAGTCTAGAGCCCAAGGTCTTTACCCCATAGTATGCTGTATCCCAAGAACCAGGAGATTCAAAAACCTTAGCAGAATGAATGAATGTGTATGCATGTGTTTCTAGAAAACTTTAATCAGCTCCAGATAACTCCATTTCTGGGAACACTGAACCCATCAACCACGCAACCTCACCTGTGAGGTCTATGATTAGGTTAGCAAGGCCAGTCAGGAAATCACAACAATCGATCACTGTAGTGCCAATGTGATCAGGCAACACTTTCTAAAGCTAGAGTAGACCAGATTCCTGACCTGGACTCCAGTAAGGCCACACCAGTTCCAAGTTCAGAGAAACACTAGACTGATATTCCCCTAAGGGCTGGCATCTGTGGTTACCAATTTTCACAGGAAGTTTTTTAAAAACATGTTTACCATTCTTCCACTCTCGTCCAGTCACTGAGTTCACAATGCTAAGAAAGCAAAGCGAGGCCTGTTCATACCCCTAGAAACCACATTGTTCCCTCAGGCCCTTGAAATGAAAATGAAACAATGGTATGATTGGGTTAAGTGGCTTTATTAGAGAAAGCCAAGACTACAGAGGACTTAGGAGTTAGCATTAGGGCCCTTCTTCTTGCCAAAGGTGGGCACAACATTGACAAAGCGCCGGTTGTACTGCATACGCCTCTTGGCCCTGCCCGTCTTCTTCTTCTTCTTCTCTTGCTTGGCCACCTGGGAAAAGGGAGGGATGATCAGACCTAGGTTGCCTCTTCTAGGCCTTCCCTCTGGCTCATTGCCAAGTACAGAGAAACCAAATAGGGCAAAAGCCCAGGGTTTTGGCTCAGCTGTGCCAGAAAAAACAAAATCCAAACATCACCACTAACACTCTCTTACCTTGGGAGTCTGACCCCTCACTTTCCCAGCACGGGCCAGGGAACCATGGACTTTACCTGTAGTGGGAAAGGAGGACAGCAAGCAGTTAGAACAAGGCACCACCCAACAAAATCTTTTCTCCCTCAACTCAAGGCAAGAGGGGCCCAAGAGGAAATGAAAACAAAGTCATAGAGATTTGAACTCTGACCAGGAATGTCTAGTCTGGTACATTCTGGCGTGTCACTTCAGAATTTTCTAGCTCCTGACTTTAAACAAGACCTAAGGATGCTTCGGGAGATAGTGAAGGACGGGGAAGCCTAAGTGTGCTGCAGTTCATGGGGTCGCAAAAAGTGGGACACCCTTAGCGACTGAAGGACAAAGAGCACTTTGGTGATCTGGTCTGACCTCCCAGTTTTAGCGAGGAAACTAGGACACAGACAAGGGTCTATCTGGTAAGTGACTGAAACAGAACTATACTCTGGCTCTCATGCACCGCTCAAAAGTTCCTTCTGAGGGAGGTAAACAGGAAGAACCACGCTGGATTGATAACACACTCTACACCCATAAGCTTACAAGCGGTTCAAAAGACAGTCCTCCCCAACTCACCTCCAAGCATGCGGCCGGCTACTTCCAGAGTGCTCAGAGCCTCCACGCCACACTGGCCCAGAGTAGCCTCATCCTCTAGGGGCGTGCCAGCCAGGAGCAGGACTTGATCTTCTGGAGCGATGCCCTCCAACGAAGCTACATGAGCCTATGGAGAACAAGGTTGAGCGTTCCCGCAAGGAGCGAGGATGAAGAACACACACAACCCCAGAGGACACCAGGGAGTCTTACCTTGATCTGGGCGACCGTCTCCTGGCCGGTCACCTCGAGAGTGTGTAGCTCCTGGGCGCGGACAAAGAGCTGCATGTTGGCGACTGAAAAAAAGATAGGGAGGAGTGGTTCCTAAGAAAAGAAATACTCTGGGAGAAAGGAGGATCGGTAAATGGGTGGGCAGCCGGAGACGACTGCGCCGGGAAGTAGGTGGTCTCGGGGTCTCACGTGGGTAAGGCCCGAACTGCCAGGGAGGACCGACGGGGATCAGCCCCAAGAACAGTCCCTCGTTCCCTGTTTTTCCCGCGTCTTCTAACCTCGAGGCCAATCTGCTATTAAGCCCTTCCGATCCACCCGTAGCCCAACTCTTACCTAGATCGCGGACAACGCTGCCGCTACCGCGAAGATGGAGTCGAGAAAGAGGAAGGAGCGAGGGCTCGCACGTCCTCTCCGCCTGCTGCGTGTCACGTCACTGAAGAGCGACCGCCAATGCCTCTGATATTTGTACCGCCCGAGGCCGTTCTGGCTCCGCCTCTTTATGATTGCGCAGGCGTCTTCACGGTCCTGGGCGGGGCTAACAGGGAGGGGCGGGACCAGGCTGGTTGCGCGCGCAGAAAGCTAGTTAGGCGACAGCTCAAGATGGCGGCGACTGTGTTTCGGTTTGTGTTGAGGGGCTGGAGAACCGGTGTCCCGCCGGGCTGCGGATTACGGCGACTGGTGAGAAAGCTGATCCTGGAGCTGGGGGCAGAGGGCTAGGTGTGAGGCTCACTGTATGCCTTGTAGTCTAAAAGCTGCGTCCCTCCCTAGGGGGCACTTTTCTGGAGCTCAGATACAAGATTGATAGAGAAGGTTGCAGGGCCTGGAGCGCGTTTCCGAATGTGGGGCTTGAAATATGATTGGAGGACAACCTGAGTTAATTAGATTAACAGGACCACTTGAGTTAATCAGCACATCCGACTCTCGCTGCCTAGTTTTTTCTGTTTTTGGCTGCCGCCTTTTTTTTTTTTTTTTCCGAAGAAGCCGGTCCAGAGGGTGAGGCTTGGCTTCAGATCATTGGCGACACTTTTGGGAACCTAGGACTCAAGATATATAGGCTGCTTCATCTTTTTATTCTCATTGTAACTCTGGGAGCCCGGGCTTTCTGTTGGGAGAAGTATGGAAGGACAGACTGTAATGTGACCTTAGGTATATTGTTTGCTAATGTCTTAATCTATCTTGGATGTATATAGGAGGTAGTGAAAGCCCTAACTTGTCGAATTAAAAGAATTAAGTGAAAACATGACCTGTAAGCACTTAGTGCCTGGTTGTGTCCATATGAATTTGAGCGTGAAATGTTCCAGGTGAGGGAAGGTCACTTCAGATGAGTGTGGGTAGGAAATTATCAGGATTGCTGAAAGTCCCTAACCCAGAGGTAGAATAGTTCACTAGAATCTTCAGAGGAAACTAAAATATTGAAAAATGCTGGATTGGTCAGACCTAGGGTTTCTCTTTCCAGAGGTATACACACACTTTCCAGAGGTATACACACACTTCTCATTTGAGTCCCACAAAAATCCTGAGAGGCAGGCCCTTCTGAGTTCCTGACTTGTACCCTTTCTTGTTTAGTCGCTAAGTCGTGTCCCACTCTGCGACCCCATGG